TGGGTACAAAGGTCTGAGTAATTATTCAAATTCGTCGACAGTGGGATTTGAACCCCAGACCTCTTACATGGCGGTCTAGCAACCTAACCACTACACTAAGATCACCAGACCTTAAGGCTATCTAAATCTTTTAGTTATTTACTTTTCTATTGTTATATATAAAATTAAATTTTAAATATATTAATAGTAGTAGTCTATTATTAATATAATTGTTTGTAGTAATATTAGCATTTTAATATATTTGCTACTATTTGTTAGCATTATCTCATAGAAAGATAGAAAGAATTTTTTTTTCTCTTTATCCTTCAGTTGTTAGCAGTTGCAGCTTTTTTAAAGCTTTCTAAGTTAATAAGATTTAGGTTCTATCTTTTATAAATAGTTCTATTTGTAATAAAGTATTTTCTTTTTAATTATTTTATAAATAATTTAAAATATTTTATACATTAGTTATATTTGGATTTAGATAAGTAGATATTACTAGTGAAGTTTGAAACAAAGTATTTAAATTATAGTTAGAGTTTAAATTTGAGGTTAAGAATCTTTTTGAGTCTATGAGTAATATAGTTTCATTATAATTATATAATATAGTATATAGATCTAATCAGAAGTAGTTAGTTAAAATATATATTTGTCTAGGTTAATAGGTTAATATCTTAAAATTAATTTCAGATTCATATCTAAAAATAAGAGTTTAGCTTAGAAGTATTTGTTTAAGAGGTTTAAACTTTAAATTATCTTTTTAAATAATTCTAAAGTAACTGTAGTATAGCTATTAACCAGATATTCTATAGTAAACTAGTTTTAAAAGATGTTAAACTAGTCTAATAGTTGTTTTAGTACTAGAAAGCAAATAATATATGAATAATCAGAAAGAGTTTGTATTAATTATTTTCTAGTCTAAGGTATATCAGATTATAAAGTATATTGATAATCTTGTAGTTGATTCATATAGACAAATATGTTATATGCAGTTATGCAATAATCATTTTTTATACCTATACTTTGACTTATAAAAAACTTATTAACTTTATTTTATTATTGAATCTCTAATTCAATATTCTAATTATTTTCTATAAATTCAAATTGCTCAAATTCTACTTACAATTTCTTTGATACTTCTTGAGAATTCTTTTATCTCATAGTTACTAACCAACTTGTCACACTTGAAATTTATCTCTTAACAGAATTCAAAAGATGTATTAAGGAATAGTATAAGGACTACTCTTAATAAACTTATTTATGAAATATAGTATTAGTTAAATGATTTAACAAGGAGGATTTAAATAATAAAACTTGGTAAAAGAGGCAACACTACAGTTGTATATAAAGATACAAGAAGTCATTAATAATATAATTAGATAATTTAGATAAGTATTAATACTAATAATGAAGTTTCTTCATGATAGTCATGTAATTCAAGATCATTAAGTCACTTAATGATAACTTTGAGTTGGTTTATTAGAGTTTAATTGTGTATAAAGACATGAACTAATACTTTATTCAATACAATAAATATACAATAAACAAAAATGAGAAATCAAATCCTACACTATTAAAAAGGATATATCGAAATCTATTGTAAAGAAATCTAAATTACAGATCTTAAATACAGATCAAAAGGAAGTGATGAACTTCCTTAATATACTAATTAATGTTGATTTTAAATAATACTTGAAACTAACTAATTATTCTTTAATTTATTACTAGGGATTTAGCGCGAAACAATATGGGAACAGTATATCACTTAATAAGATTAGCTATATGAAGATCCTTTAATCACTCGGTATTATCTTTAAGCTCATGTGGGTCATGTGCTTCCGCAGTCATATAGAGAAGATCAATTTTCGGTTTAACAAAGGTCAAGAATTTTTTTCAATGCGAATTAATTATTTTAATTTTTAAATTATTTTAAATATAGTAATAAAAGATTAGGACTAAAACTTTTAAAGCAATTTACAATAAACAGTTATCAAAAAAAAATCGTCGCTTAAATTTTTTTAACATTCTTAAGTAATATTACATATTTATTTTCGAATTTCATAATATAATATGCCTCCCAAAAGAACTTTTAAACAATCCACTAAAGAGCAAAAGCTATTAATTATTATTATATAAATAAGCTTACAAGTCAAAATGAATAAAATTTACGAATCACTGATTTCAAAATTATTACTTCACTAATTTAATTTGAAATCGGAAACCATGAGCATTAGGTTTGAATCACCCTATTTATATTTCATTTCGCTTTATTTGAATTCTTCATTTTTATAAATTTTTTGAAAAAAGTTTAGGTTAACTGTATATAATATGTTGAATCAAAAATAACTTTTAAAATATAAAGAAATTATCGGGTAGGAAGAATTTAAGTCAAAATTTTGTAAGGAGATTTTTATTGTAGATATTAAGCAATTATTAAAAAAGATGTTGCGATTCATCAATTAATAACACTTTTTCATACCATTAGTTACACTTATTGATAAGTTATGAGGTGCGCCTCAGTCATGAAGCGATCTCAGGCACAAAATTTATATAGTTAAATATTTTTTAAAAGATTTACTCTTAATTTATTAACAGTAATAATAATAATAATGACCGAAGAATCAATTTCCGTTCATTTCTGTTGATAAAGCATTTAAAGCATCCCAAGTACCAATAATAGCACCGAAAAGGGCAAAAATTAAAATAAAAATAACCCAAAGTTTTTCAGCTAAACATCCAAGCTTATTCCAACCATTTAATTTTATCCAAACCAACATTGGCATAACCATTAATAAAACTCCATTACCTAAAGCACCTAAAAGTGACATAATATTAGTAAAATATGGTACAGTTATTGCAATATATATAGTAAAAATTACAATAGTTAAACGAAGAATTGAACGTAAAATAAATTCAAGAGATTCATTTCTTAAACTTGAATTTATACCAAGATGATTTTCTAATTCTAAAGAAAAAGCTGTTTGATAAACAGGAAGAGCAAGAAGAACATGTATTGTAATCATTATCATAGTAACATCAACTACGAAACCAGGTGGTAGACTGAAATATATAGGTGACATTGTGTTTCGACCATAAGTTAAGTAGGCGGGAATACCAATTAAAAAGTACATAATTGTAATTGTAAATTTAGCAGAGCTAACTACTTGTGACCATGCTTTTGGATTTTCCATGCTATATATCGATATATTATGTGTGAATTAAATAGTGACGATATTATTAAATAATTATCTTATCAGTTATGTACAGTACATACCTGTCTTCAATATGAGGGTAAACAACATTACCCCCAAAACTAAAAAAGAATGTTGATAATGCGATGGGAAGGTTTCGATAGTTAACAAAATCATGAGGATTGTTTGTATTATTTGGATAATCAATGATAGACATTACAAACACAACCAATACAACAAACATTGTTGTCGCTACTCCAAATATGCTAATACGATTACGAAGGAATAATATTTGTGAATATAGAACGAAAGTATATAATATCAAATAGATAGAGTAAATTAGTAGTTATGTAATATAACTTACCTTAGCCAAGCAGTTTCCTTCATTGTCTTTAGAAAAATGAATGGTATACACATGGTGCAAGCACAGATACACACCCATGTTTGCATTCCTAAATCGATTCCATAATTACTGAACAATGTTTGTAGATTATCTCCAGAGAGAACAAGATAAAGGATTGGACATCCTAAACTTATTGCGTTGTAAAAAAAACCAACCACAAACAATCCAATATTACCAAACGCGCTATATGCTATATCCGATACTGAAGTTTTGTTGCGTATACTGCGCCAATAAAACTTATTAAATCACATGATATATAAAAATCGTAATTACATAGTAGGATAAATTAAATAGTTATTATACCCATTGCAATATAAACAATCGATCAATTTAATACTTGTATATCTAGACATAGATGCGGAAAGAATCAGAAGTATCAACGATATCCATCCCCCTTGTTGAATAGCATATGGAATACCGAGAGTTCCTGATCCGGCCACTACGCATCTAAAAAAATATTAAAATTTAATAATCTGTAAATTCGTCAAAGAATTAATAAGTTATAATGTATAAATTACACTATATTCATGTAAGCTGCCCAATTTGATCCTTTACGTCCGTTCCTAATAGTATTTTCTTTAAGTGCACAACTAGCCTTATTTCCTTCAAGATCCACAGACCCGTTTGCTATTATTTTGTAAATCGATAAAACTTGAGTTTAAAAATAAATTTGAATATTTATTAAACTGAAAATAATCGATTTAAAAAATAACCTTCTGAACATGCGCCATAGTTCTTCACGTCTTTACGTGCGTCACATACGCTATTTATTTTATTAGTTTCCTCCATTATTCAGCTAAAATTATTAAAAAGTTCGTTTGTTTTTTTGTTTTTTTTTTATTGATTTAAAAACAATTATTGATTGAATAAAGACTTCTTTATATTTTCAATATCGGAAATAGGTACTT